TATATATATATTGGATGTGTTTGCATTTCCTACTTGTGGATTTCATTAATTCTCCAACTGCTTAGAGATGAGAGAACTATCCTCAAATTCGCATATCCCTTACTATGCCACCTGGTAAACATCATTTTGCTTCCAGAATGGCTCTAAAAACATTGGATTCCCACTGCAAAAAAGTAAAATAAAATAAAATAGAAATTAAGAGTGAGCAACTGTAAATCATTTGTGCCATTTAATTATGACTAACTGTACGTATTGCACCCCAATTTAAACGGGTTTTAGTAGAAGTGCAACATATTGGTGATTCCTAAGTAACGTAGGAGTCGTCACCCTACAGTATGTAGTCTTAATTTCTGGTGAAGTTGGTGACATTGGGATCAAGTGCTGTAGAATCACTACAAAAAAAAAAAGTTAAATTTGCGGAGGTTTTATTTACATATTGCGGCGGTCAGAAACCTCCGCAATATGTTGTTACGGCAGTTTCCAAAACCCCCGCAATAATGTTCGCCGCAATCAATTTGCGGTTTTGTTTTGGGAGAATGCCGTTATCATATAACGGCGGGTATTTAACGTCGGTCTAACCTCCGCAATTCGATAATTTGACTTTGTAAGAACACACGTATAAAAAAATTAGCGACAGTCAAAACTCCTATAATATTTTTATTTAACCCCCACAAATTTTAACACAATATTATTATACATTAAATTGCGGCAGTTATAACCTTCACTATTCATTGATTTTTTTTTTTTGGCAATTGTTATACCATAACTGATCCGATTTCAATTATGGTAATATAATGAAGCATCATCAGATTATATAAATTGCTTACTAGAATCAAATAACATCAATATATTAATAAATCATAAAATACATTAAAGTAAATTATCATTAGTCTCAAAGACTTTTTTTAAACACAACTACTCCATCCATTAAACACAAAATATCAGTATTATAGTTAGTTTTAAAACTAACTTTAAACAGAATATCTACTGCAACTATAATGGACAAAAGATCTACTATGACCATTCAATCGAGAATGATACATTTGCAAGCAACTTCAATGGTTGTCGTTAGGATTATTTTCACCAGATGATCTTCTTACATCTATGGGTGAAATGGATCCGCTAGCCGCATCACTTAGCTAAAAAATAAAAATAAAATATAATTAACGAAAAGTACCTCAACAATATCATAATTAATAGTCACTTAGCTTCAGTCAAGTATCAGTAACTTCTATGATCCGAATACGTAGTACATTAATGACCAAAGCCATCATTGACTCTTTATCAAACTCTCTCAGCTTCTTCCAATATCCCATAATTCATTAATTTTTCACTGGCCCAAATTAAATCAAAACTTGAAATGAGTTTGCAGAAGTTCAGGAAATGGCTAAAGAGATTTGACACAGACAGAGATGGGAAGATAAGCAAAGAAAAAGTCCGAGACGCCGTCCGAGCCAACGGCGGCTGGTTCAGCAGGCTAAAAGGCAGCCACGGTATAAAAATTACAGACGCTAATGGCGATGGATTTATTGATGAGAATGAATTCAGAAACCTTACTGAATTTGCACAGAGGAATTTAGGTGTTAGAATTATCTAAGAAAAATATATGAGCTTCCAGCTCTAATATGGAATACAATACTAATATAATATTGTATGTAGGTACAGAAATACTTAGATATACTAAATCATTCTTATTTATATGCTATTTTGCTATTTCTTCCTTCCTATATATTGTAGATATACATGCATTCCTTCTCATGTTCTATATGTATGCAAATTATGGTTTGTTGTATACTCCATATATCTATCCTAGCTCAAAATCATCAATTGTAGAAGAAGAAGCTCAAAACTTTAAATCAAAACCTCACAAAAACTTAATATTTGGAGAGAGTAGCAGCTAAGCACAAGCTGAAAGTGAAAAAAAAAAAGCACACTGACAACAAAATGAGAATGCATGTGTAGATATAGGAGTGAAGAAAGTGAGAAAAAGAGTCAAACACCACATAACACAAAAGTTTCCTTCTTTCTCAATTCAGAGTCACATTTGGACTGATCAATCACACTTTCAAAATTAAATGAGAAAGTTATGAACTTTTCTTACCGTTGAATGAGGAGGAGAAACAAAGATCCCTGCAAATTCTTCAGGTATCCTCCCTTCTTTCATTATCATATATGCCTTAAAAGCATTCATCATTTAGGTGTTAACATTCATCATTTTTCTGTAGTTCTCTTGGCTTTGATTGCGAGCATTCAACATTTGATTGTACTTCTCTTGGCATTGGGAAGAACATGAACCGTTATTATAACTTGAAGCATTCAAATCACTATAACAAGGTCTTGTTTGTCTAAAAGCTCTGCCAGGAACAACTCTTAATCCCAAGCACTTTACCCTTCCAGAGTGCTCTTTTCCCAGCACCTTACCAACGACATTATTTGGCGAAATTTCAGACTCATCCACGGTGCTTTGGCTCAATGCTAGTTTAATTTTTCCTAAATACATTACACACCAAAAGTCAGTGTCCTACCTTCAATCAGTGATTGATAAGTTATTAAAAAAGAAAAACAAGAGAAGAATATCTTTTTCTTTTATATCAATTACAACAGCAAATTTATCATACTTACCAGCTTCTCATGACTAAACTCTTAAATTAGCAACATATAAGATGTTTACTGGAAATTTTAACTCACTTCAGTAGAGTGGAGGCAAACTTATCAACAAGGAAGAGGCCCAACTCAGGTTCTATTTTACTAAATCACATGCTTATATGTTCATAACATCACATGTTGAGCTTTTCGGAAGAAAATCACTAGTACAAAAATAATAGAAGACCTAAAATTTAAGAGCAATAAGAGAATAAAATACTGAAGAAAATAAAGAAAAAAGATAAAGAAGAACAAGGGGTCCATAAATTGGCTGCATTGGCCGAATGTCCCATTCCAATTGGAAAAGGAAAACAAAAATGGCCAGCTTTCTTGGGTCGGTTAGTCCTTGGAAAAATCTGCATCCAATGAGCTATATTGCCCATCCAGTTTGTTAGTAGTCAGTTCTGAAGGGCAGACATCATTTTGTTTCTTCATCAAAATATAGCAAGTGAACTACTTGGTAAAGTACCTATCTACCTGGAACCTACATAAATATCTTGTTTCTTCCCCAGATGGCAATCAGATTTTGGTTCGTTGGTTCAATAATAAGCTATGGATCCAACTAACACCAGCAACTCATCATTTATTCACTCAATCCTGTTAACCATTTCATCTTAAAATATAAAGAATATATCACATAATAACATCATCGAAGCCATTATTTGACGAAATTTCCTTTCTTCACCCAAATATTCAGATGTGGATAAAACGTGGATTAATACTGAAAGCACCGTACCCGAGCATGAACAACTTTCATGTCAAAATCAATTGGAAAGGTTTACTTTCTTATCATTTCTGACTTTCGTAGAGGAATCCAAGCACCGTACCCGCATATTACTTGTTACAACATATTTTATAACCAATCATTGATTACTACGTACTAAATGATTGCAAATTTGATGGAAGAAATTAAAAACTTACACATATCTCTTTGGCCGCCTCATTAACATATGATCCATTTTCATTCCTATGTGTAGCGAGATAAAGCTGTCCTCGTCCAGGCTTTTGTCCAGTCTCAGCCATCTATAAATGAAAAAGTTAAAGTCGCATTAACTTAACTAACTAAGAATAGTTGCTAGTTTAATTAAAGTATTCAAAATGAATCAATACCATTTCAGCCCTTCTTTTGGAGTTAGGTTTGGAGCCACCGATATATGAAATAATTTGTTTCTTCCGAATTTCAGCATTTCTTTTACAAGTTTCCGTACAAAAAGATACCATGAATTACACATACTTGCCTATTATATACTTATAAAACCATAAGATCTGTTTAACAAAAGAACAAAGGCACAAATGGTGCCAAGAGCTCTTTTATTTAACAAAATCATAATAGCTCTTTTGTTTGTAGAACAACTTCCATTTTAGTTAGATACATCCTCTTTTTACAGAATAATAATAGGCACGAAGCAACCTCTTATGGAGCCTTTGAAGGTTCAACCTCTTATACAAATAAATATATAATTACACAAACTAATTGAAGTATTGAAATAAATACATGTGTCTTTTCTTTAAAGCGGTAATCAACATAAGAAATTCATTGATCCCGTGGAATTCCCAGTGGAACGCTATCGAATACCAAAAACCACTTCAATAATAAAAAGGATCTTGCAAATATCAACTATCGAATACATAATGCTTACAGGAAAAAGAAGGAAATATACAAACTAAACTATCAAAGATAAACAACAAATTAATTACAAAAGGCTCCCCATTGGGTAGTCAGTAACCTGGGATAGGATGAATAAGAGGTGATCGAGAAATCACTAAGGTGACTAGAGTTTAGGCTACTATATGATACTTCCTATCAAAATTAACATATTTGCAGAACAAACAGCTCTACATATGCGACTAAGATAGCAATTCAAAAGAAACTACAACCACTTGAAATCAACACAGGCCTAAATGCAGTAGTTACTGCACTTCAAATAGGTAATGTAAATTTTAGAACATATAATACCTAATGCAAAAGGATAAAGAGGACTTACATCTCGATTTCAACAAAGAGTATTATATACTTCTTCAAAATACACCGATTCTACCAAATTTCTGCTGAGAATCGAAAAACATCAAGATGAAAGAAAGAGAAAAAAATCAGTAAAGGAAAAATATAAATTAACAGAGAAAATAAACTTAAAAGCCACATGCATGAAGAAAGAAAGACAAAAAAGTAAAATCAAAGAATGAAAGAGCAAAATCAAAGCAAAATCGAATAGGAATTTGTATGAAAGAGCGAAATCAAATAAACTTACATCCAATTAAAGGTTTTGTGTTAGAGTGGGCTGCTCATTTTCATCCCTTGTCTGGTAGGTCTGTTAAGGATTTGGTTAGAGTGGGTGAGGGTTTCTGAAAATGAAGCGAGAGGGAGAGAGAAGGGTAGTTGAAAATGAGAAAGGGGTTTGGGAAAAAAAAGACGGAAAGGATTAAAAAAATGAGGGAAACATGGGGTTAGTGGGCGCTATTTTTTTTTAAGGGTTGAGGAGGTTACCCACCGCCGTAAATATAATATATTTGTGGGGGTAAATAGACCCCCATAATTTGATATAGATTGCGGAGATTATAGTAACCGTCACAATAAAACCTCCGTAAATTTAGCATATTTTTGTAGTGAATTTAATTACATGTCTGCATCAACGGAACAATTGGGTATAAAGAGTGAGCAATCAGGGCCATGCATTGCACTCACAAATATGTCTGCCATTTTGAGTGACTAAAACATCCAAATAAGCCCTTCCAGAGCCTGAACAACTTACATAGGCAATATTTTCTACTGTCGGAGTTGCTTCTCCCCTCCATCTTAGCTTCTGATTAGTACAGCTGATGGAAATGATTAACTCGAGGCAGATGGGATTGAAAATATTAGTTTGAGTGCCTTTATGGATTACTAAAGAACTTGGTTCATTACCTTACTCCTTAAGCGTAAGCAAATATAAACAGTAAAGTAGACACAATAATTTTTACATGGAAAATTATCCGGCTGAAAATATGCAAAAACCACGACCTCGCAGGATCTTAGCTTCAACTTCACTAGAACAATAAGCCAAATATATCGATTACAAATCTGTAACTCAATACTCTCCAGTTCTCCTACTTCAACTATTTGACTTACAAGTTACTCTAACTTGCAAAATCAAATACTCACTCCAACTCACTAATTGTATATAACACTTTGATTACAACTCGATTTTCTAAAACACATTTACTAGACTGACTCAAGAAGAACACACCACTATACTCGACTTGAGTATATAAAATACAATTCTTCAAACTCCGAGATCTTTTAGAAGTCCTATGCGTAGTCAGCTTCTCGTTTGATAAGACTCCTACTGTTCCAAATCCTCCACAATTCCTGGGACTCTTTTCTCTCGCTTATGAAAACATATCTTCTTGGGTAACACCCTTAACATGTTTAGCAATCCTCTTCCAACAAACGCGGACTTGGGTAACTTTGAGATAAATTTACTGTCTTGCAAGAACGTGCAATCATCAACCTTGAGGAGCTGGTTCTTAGAGCAGTTAAGCAGTAGCATTGAGGACCTGGTTCTTAGAGTATTTCTTCTAAACCAACTTTGTTAATTATCACGACCCAAAAATTATCTAGTCGTGATGGCACCTGACCCAACCCGCTAGGTAAGTCAAGTAACAGTCAACATAACTCAAATGAGAATAATAAGAGTAAATGAGTAAAATAACTGAATTTCTACACAATTTCCAACGATTGGTAGTACAAATTATGAGCTTCTGCCTTACACCGCAATATCAGCTCCAAGATCTGCACGCAAGGTGCAAAAGTATAGTATGAGTACAACCGACCCCATGTACTCAATCTAACTAACCTCGGCGAGGTAATAGTAGTAAAAATTATAAATGATACTCACCAGTCACCTGTACAAGTGCTTAAATCCAATAGGTATAGAAACGATATATGATTAAATCAAGAAAATATAGGTAAAACCACCTTGGTGCTCACAATCCCTTATTTTAAAGTGTTTTACTCAGTCAACAGTCCAATATTTAAGGAAGGTATGCAAATAAATCCGGTAAACAGTCAATGAAATTGCAAGTAAAGGATGTAATGCAATAACTAAATATCAGTCTGTTGCGGTGCGCAACCTAATCCAACTAACAATAAGCCAATAAGGCTTGTTATGGCATGTCACCCGGTTCAAATAACAACAACCAGCTCTCTAAGATGTCACATCAACCAGAAATCCGTTGGTTTCTTACAATCTGCATGTACACCATCAAAAGAGAAACATGAGAGGGTAACCCTAGGGAGATGGATCCTTCTCCACATGCAAGCACGGCCAATTCAACGTGCTACCAGCCAGGTGTGGTCACATGATCTATATCATAATCCGCCCAGCGTGGTCACAGGATCAATGAGATGGATCTGCCCAGCATGGTCACATGTTATATCACAATCCACCTGGTGTGGTCACAAGCATATCATCACAATCCGTCCGGTGTTGTCACAGGCATAAAAACACATTCCGCCCGGCGTGGTCACATGCATAACAACACAATCTGCCCGGTGTGGTCACAGGCATAGCAAAACAATCCGTCCGACGTGGTCACAGGTATAACAACACAATTCACCCGACATGGTCACAGACATCCAGTCCAATCATATCACACAGGAGAAAATAAACAAGAATACATATATGTGATGAATGAATAACAAATCTCATGCTCTTGGACTGGTATAAATAACATGCTAAAGTGCAGGCATGTGAAAAGTGTGCTATCATAGATCAAATTAGCAATTTCATCACAGAATAGCATTTATCAAGTTCATTCAGGGATTAAACGTATATGTAGCCTTAAACATGGCTCAAATAGTTAAAATAATATTACAAATATGAGAAATATCATAGCTTAAAGCTTAACAGTCAATTCTAGGCTTATGACTAAACACAACCCGAGCATGGATAAATACCCCCGGTGTTAGCACATGGCTCAAATCCCATACATGTGCGTACCCATAGCACGTAGCTATCATAAATAATTCAGGAAACCAATGCCTCAATCAAGTTTAGATAAGATACTTACCTCAAATATGCCAAAACAAATACCGAGCAAGCCAAACAACACTCTAGAAATGCCATCCCACGTGAATTAACCTCTGAACGGCTCGAGACTATCCAAAAGCAACTCAAATACATCAAATAATACTAAAGAAAATAAACCCAAACGATAAAGGTTGAATCTTTACTCAATTACTCAAGTCAACCAAAAGTTAAACCCAAGATCGCACCTTGGAAGCCGACCAAACTTACAAATTCCGACAACCCATTCGAATATGAGTCCAACCATACTAATTTCACTCAAATTCGACTCTGAATCAATGTTCATAACTTAAAATTTTACTTTAGGAAAGTTTAGACAAAACCGTCCCAATTTCTCTTTTAGAATCACCATTTAAATACAAAATCAAAGATGGAATCATGTGAAATAATCAAAACCGAGTCAAAAATACTTATCTCAATCCAAATCTGACTTCAAATCGACCTCTAAATCTATAAATTTCATCCCCTTAAATTTGGGGGGGGGGGGGGGGAGGGGAGAACTCACAAATCTCTAATCAAAACATAGATTAATTCATAAATGAACTATTATAATAATGTTAAAATACAAAATTTGAGGTTAGAAATCATGAAATAACAAGAAGAATTCCGCGAAAATCACCTCAAACAGAGCTCTAGAATTGAAAATATGCTCAAAATACTAAATAAACGCAGTCTGATTTTTAATACACATGGAATTTCGCTTCTGCGCCCAAAAATCCACACATGCATTCTGCCAGCTGTAATTTCCGCATTTGCGGACCATTTTTCACACTTGCAGGGTCGCAGATGCGAACCCAACTTTGCATCTGCGAAGCAACAGCACCAGCTTTCTTCCCCAACACTAAAATGGGCAGAACTCCCTCATACGATATTGGAATTCGATGATTCTTTTTGCTATGGCTCTGAAATTATGATATGGATCTAATGCTTCAATAAAAACAGAATTTAGAGCTCATTTGATTAATGTGGTACCATTTATGCTTGAAGAAACGACGTCAAAACATAAAAAACGAGCGCAACACAACGCAAACCAATCTGAAACTCACCCGAGCCCCTCGGGACATCGTCCGAACATACCAATAAGTCCCAAAACATAATACAGATCTTATTGAGACCTCAAATCCCATATAACAACATAAAAACCATGAATCACACCTCAAATCAAAATTAATGAACTTTTGAACTTTCAACTTCCAAAACTCGTGTCGAACCCTATCCAATCAACTCGGAATAATCTCAAATTTTGCACACAAGTTCTAAATAATATAAATAACCTATTCCAACTCCCAGAACAACAATCCAAACTCGATATCATCAAAGTCAACTCCCGGTCACTTTTATGAACTTTTCAAATCTTCAAATTTTTAACTTTCGCAAAATAGTGCCGGACCCTTCTAGAAACCTCCAAACGCAAATTAGGGAATACACTTAAGTCCAAAATCACCATTCAGAGCTAAACAAACCATCAAAACTTCGATCCGAGGTCAAATACTCAAAAGACAAACTTGGTCAACTCTTCCAACTTAATGCTTCTAAAATGAGAATTATGCTTCCAAATCAATTCTGGATCACCCGAAAACCAAAACAGATGATACACGCAAGTCATAGTATAACATATGGATCTACTCAAGATTTCAAACAGCTAAACGAAATTCAAATGCTCAAAATAACCGGTTGGGTTATTACATTAATCATCAAAACCTCAATACTCAACAAATTCTCTTTTTATGACGATGACAAAATTTGTGCACGTTTAAACTTTGTAATCTCCTCATATCACCACACAATGACCAGAGCAAGAATAACAAGCAGATAAACAGACACATCAAAACCAACCCCAAACTCTATCAGGCACATCAACACCAACCCCCAATTTTATCTTTCCCCTTTTGGCATCATCGAAAAAAATATGTTAGACAGACTAAGAATAGATAATGAAAGATTCATGGCCATTTAGGCTACAACACAAGCTCAAGAATTATCAAAGCAAATAAACTAAGCTGACGATATAACCATGTGTGAAGCAGTAAAACATCAGAAGAGAATTCATTTAGTAGTTCCAAATTAATCCCAGGGCCTTGTCTTAAAATATTAGAGCAAAATAAACTAAACATCCTGCAACCTACTCAGAACTAGAACAATAGAACAAGAACTAAAGCACCACTGGGTTAACAAAATAAGTTGAAGCCATGAGGTGAAGGACTAGGGTCAAGGGTGAGCGGAAGAGGGGTTCAAGGCTTTCACCAGGGTGGAAATCTATTGGGCATGAGCCTCTCTATCCCTTCTGAGCTCCTCCCTAAGCTGCCTGGTATCTTTTTTCAACTCACCATTGTCTTTTCTAAGCTTGGCATTCTCCTCAAAAGCTAACTCCAACATTTTAGTGAGTTCTGATGCCTTGCTGCTACCAGGTAGAATAGCATAACTTGTTGGTCCCCTAGCCTTGATCTCCTCATATCTACACTGCTTAAGGGTAAAAGTATCCAAAACATCATTGTGGTTTCCGAACTTAAGCTCAGTCAAGGCAATATTGAGTTTATCAAACAACGTAGTTAACATGAAGCCATAAGGCATAGCATGCTTAGGCTTGGAAGTGTCTGCAGCCCTTGCCATGTGCTAAATCATCAAGCTAGGGAGATTGATAGTTTTACTAGTATCAAATAGTTCCATCACAGCCATGTACAACAGGGTAGCCTCGTGTCTCTTCTCAGATCTCTACCATATGCAGGAGTTCACAAAGTGAAACAGCAACTTGTGAAAGGGAGTCATATCAGTCTTGTATACCTTATGGGGAGCATCTAACTCAAACTTCTGAGAGAACTTCCTTGTGACCACAATTCTTGTGTCCATACCATTGTCTATGACTGGACATTTTTTCTTCAAGTAATTGTCAAAACCTAATGAGGGAATATTTAGTAGCATCCCAATCTCTTTAGCATCAAACTCAATCTCAAACCCCCTTACTGAACTCTTGGCCACTTTGCCATTAAATTGGAAGTTTTCATAGAACTCCACCATAGCAGGTACATATAAATAAAGGGAATGCCTTAAAAAACATGTGTCCCCATCCCTGTAGCTCAAGTTTTTCAACTAATTGACCCATACCTTTCTTATCACCGATTGTAAGAATCTTCCCTTTCAGCACTTTCATGTTAGTATAACCTTCTTAGATGTGGTAGCTGCCTTGGTAGGTTTAACGGCCTTCCTCTTTTGTGTTGATGTCTTTTCATGCAGAGTAGAGTCAGACTCATCCTCTTTATCCAACTCAAGTACAACTTCAACTACTAGTACTTGCTTTCTTTGCTTCTTGGCACCTCTGGACTCCTTAATAATCTGTTCATCAACAACCTTTCTTTTACTCATTGTGAAAGGAGTCCTAATAGGAGGAGCCACTTCTATTCTTGCAGGGACAACTGACTTTGTTGCTTTCACAGGGGCCTTCTTACTCTTCTTCCCTACTGTAGACAAGGGTAAATCATCCTCATCACTGCTGACCTCCTCATCTCCAGTAAAAGGAGTTAACAAAGGCCCAGTTTCTTCAGCTCCTTTCTCTCCACTCTCTTCTTCTAAAGGGTATATGACAGTGTTCCCAATAGCCATAGAGCCTCCAGATTCTCCACTTTCATTCTCTTCCTCACTCTCTCATTCAATACTCTCACTTACACTTCCCTTTTCTTCTTCCTCACCTTCACTCTCAGAGTCACCTTCTTCCTCTCTCTCTCTCTTTTTCTTCCTCTCTATAGTCCCCCACTTGTTCATCTAACTTATCTTTTGCCTCACTTTCTTTTTCCTCTCCAGATTCCTCATCAGTATAACTCTTTTTCTCATAAATATCATGAGCCATGTCATGAGCCTGATTATCCTCTCCTCCCTTTTCCTCACCTTCATCATCACCCACATCCTTAGTCCAGCTGAAAGAGAGACCATCAAAAGCCTCTTTATTCACTAGTTCTTTCTCACCTTCCCCCTCAACCATAGGTATAACCTTTTTGGTATCTACCCTTTTCTCCTAAGTTGCAGTGTCTGTTTCTGCAGTAGGTTCCTCCATATGTGGTTTGTAACTTAAGGGTGGGACAATATCTAAGGGTGCAACTTCAATAGCAGAAACCAGAACAACTAATTTTGATGGAGGTAATTTTACATGATCTGTAGTAGTTGACACTGCCCCCTGAGCCATAGCTTCCTTAACCACTGTGTCCTCCTTAGAAGCAACATCAATCACCACCTTGTCAATCTTAGCACATTTTATTGACGTAGACTTGATCTTAGTGGGCTTAGAAGTGTTTTTCGAAGCAGACATAGGTGCATGGGAAGGTAATTTTGGGACTGAAGGTCGAGTAGAGGTGGGAATAGTGGGTACAACAGGAACATGGGATGATGTTGCGGGTATAGTAGAGGGTAAAGGTGGAGAAGGAACAGGTATGGGTGGAGGTTCACTTGTTAAATTTGCGCTTTTATTTGATTTGAGCTTCATGTTCTTGGGTTTGGCTTCAATCTTGGATGAAGATTTTTGGCTTGATTTAGGCATGGTGATGAGAGAATGAAATTGATGAAGGAATGAGAGAATTGTTTCTTGATTCTTACTTAGGGTTTGGGAGGAATAATGAGGTCTAAGAAACAGATCACACAGGAGCTTTTAAAGAGGATAATCCTAATTTGACTGGAAGGAAGAGAGAAACTGAATTTGAGTTCTAACAGGATTCTAATAACGGTTACTTTTGACTATTAAACTTTTAAGAGTAATTAAACTATAATTTCTCTAGGATTCCCCCTTAATATTAGACTAGACGACAAATAGGAGTGATTCTAACATGATTAAAGACTCTGAGTATAGCAGTAATTTCAGATATTAAGCCCCAATAAATTAAGACAAGATGACACGTACTTGAGTCAAAGAACCAACTCCTTACTCATTTCTACAATAAAACTTCAGCATAATAGATTAGTATCATAAGTCATAGTTATCAGCTAGACTTTTCTGGGCGAGTGTCTATGCTCAAGACAAGCACGAGACTGAATCAAACACATTGTACTCAACTATCTACATCTAATTATTAAGTTTTCTAGCCAATCATTGGGGTTCAACCTAGTTGGAAGTATTAGTTAGACCCAGTTCTAGTGTGTTCCTTTCAAAGTAATTCCAACTCAGAGCTTTAGTGAAAATATCATAAATGTGGTCTTCAATTTTATAGAAAGTTAATAGCGATATTTCCCTTTTCAACATTGTCTTTGAGAAAGTAATGTCTAATGTTAATTTCTTGTTTGTCTTGTGTTGGAAGGGATTTTTAGCAATGTTTATGGCACCAGTATTATCACAGAAAAAAGGAACACAATCAACAAAAATACCATAGTCCCTTAGCTATTGTCGTATCTACAGCAACAGAGCATAGCAAGATGCTGCTTCCACATACTTTGCTTCAGCTGTAGACAAAGCCACTGAGTTCTACTTCTTTGTTCCCCAAGACACCAAGCAAGAACCAAGAAAGTGTGTTGTTTCTGAAGTGCTTTTCCTGTCTATATGAAAACTTGCATAGTCAGCATCAGCATAACCAACTAAATCAAAACTGTAACCTCTAGGATACCACAGACACAGATTAGGAGTCACTTTAACATATCTTAGTATCCTTTTGACAACCTTCAGATGAGACTCTTTTGGATTTTCCTAAAATCTTGCACACAATCTCACACTGAATACAATATCTGGCCTGCTTGTTGTGAGATACAACAGTGACCTAATCATTCCTTTATATAGCTTATGTTCGACACTTTTTCCTTCTTCATCAAGGTCTAACTTTGTTGACAATGGCAATAGGAGTGTCTATGGACTTAGAAAAGTCCATGTTAAATTTCTTCAGCAGTTCCTTGATGTATATTTGTTGATGCATCATGGTTCCAGTAGGTGTTTGCTTGATTTGCAACCCCAAGAAGAAATTCAATTCACCTATCATGCTCATTTCAAATTCATTCCCCTTCATCTCAACAAATTCCTTGCACATTGCTTCACTAGTAGCCCTATAGATAATATCATCCACATATACTTGTACAATCAGAAGATTTTTCCTTTTACTATTCAGAAATAGTATGTTGTACACCTTTCCTCTTACAAAGTTATTGATTAAGACGAATTTTGAGAACCTTTCATACAAAGCTCTTAGAGCTTGTTTCAGTTCATACAAGTCTTTGTCTAATGTGAACACATAGTCAAGGAATTCTTCACTCTTAAACCCAGGAGGTTGTTTAACAAACACTTCCTCCTTCAGGTAACTATTCAAAAATACACTCTTTACATCGATATGATACAGGGTGAACTCCATGTGTGTAGCAAAATCTATTATCATTCTTATAGTTTCCATTCTGGATACAAGTGAAATGTTTCATCATAGTCAATGCCTTCTTCTTGATTGTATCCCTGAACCACGAGTCTGGCTTTGTTCCTTGTGATATTTCCTTGCTCATCCAGCTTGTTTCTGAACACCCATCTGGTACCTATGACAGTTCTGTTCTTTGTTCTTTGCACCAAGTGCTAGACCTTACTTCTCTCAAATTAATTTAGCTCTTCTTTCATGGCTATAATCCAATCTGGATCCTTTAGAGCCTCCTTTAATTTAGCTTTTTCTAGATTTTGTTGCAATACTTTATTCGTACATTCAGCATCACAATGATTATCTCTAACCTCTTTTAGTTTAATTTCAAGCTTATCTTGCAGATCACTTATTTTTCTTTTACCATGTATATCAGTTGACTTTTCATTTTTAGAAGTGAACTCAAGAACCTGGTTCTTAAGGTATTTGACCTGTCCTTCAAGATTAACTTCTCGGATTTAAGTTCTTTAATGTGAAGTTTAATACATGAAAGATTGTTTATTAACTGATCATTTCCAGCAGTCATCTTGTCCATCTCACTCATCATGGTCACAATTATGACCATCAGCTATTTTTAGACATAACATGAATATTTTCTTTCAAGTTAGAGATACTTACATGATTTATTTCATCTTGAGTCTCTGAATCACTCATGGCCATCATCCCAATCACTTCTTTTTATATTTGACTTTCTTCAATTGCCACTAGCGCCACTTTAAGGTTTTCATCTCCAAAATCAGCCTCCAAGGTCTTCTATATATCATGAGAAGAAATGCAAGAGGACACCTTGTAGAGAACATTTTTAGGCAAACTTCTATAGAGCAGGTCCTTTGCTTTAGCATTTTTTTGGATTACCTGACTATCTTCATCATCATAATCCTCTTCTCTCTTTTTACCTTTGTTTCCTTCACTATCTACTTTGGTGGGGATGATTGGTCCATGACAGTTGGGCAGAAGCATATAATATCGAGAGTTTATTCATGTGGTCATATTTTGAGTTGGAGAGCTCGGATTTGGGCAATTTTGGAGGCGATTTTTACCACATGGATTGGGGTAAGTGCTCTATACTCGGTTTTCATTATATTTCATGAATCCATATTCATTTTTGGCATTTGATTGATGATTTCAAAGTGCAATTTCGGGTTTTTTGTCAAAAATTTTATAAAGTGAATTTTTGAGTTTTGAACATTAATTCGGAGTCAGATTTGAGTAAAGCTAGTATGGTTAGACTCGTAATTTAATGGGTTGTCAGATTTTGTGAGTTTCGTCAATTTTTGAGGTGCGGGCCCGGGTTTGACTTTTTGGTTGACTTTGGGATTTTGATTAAAGATTTCACCTTTATCGATTTAGTTTGTTTCCTTTGGCATTATTTGATGTTCTTGAATTGCTTTTGGCTAGTTTCGAGTCGATCAGAGGTCAGTACGCATGAGATGAAATTTTTGGAATATTATTTGGCATGCTCGATATTGGATTCGGCTTGTTCAAGGTAAGTAGCACTTCTAAACTTGGTGCTAAGGGTATGAACCCCTAAATATACGTGGTATTTGTTTGGTGTTGAGGTGACACACATGCTAGGTGATGGGCGTGTGGGCGTGCACCATGTGAATTATGACTCAGTTTGTTCTGTGGTGATGTGTAGTTGCCTAATCTTATTTTTATCCATGAAATTTTTATATGCTAGAGTAATTGAGATGTGATCCATGTTAGAAATCAGGTTTAGGCTATATGCATATTTTGTTGGGACCCACTGAGGTCATTTTTGCTATTGAGTTATTAGCATAAAATGCATTTATATATTTAGACATATTCATTCATTTGCATATCATATCTTAGTCTTTGTTATCATTTGTTGACACATCATGTTATCATTGTTTGGGCTCATTGGCATGAGATTTGTGAGCCCGAGAGACTGAAGAGATTGATGACTAAGTTGGGGCTTGATGGTCGGATTGTGAGTGATATTGATGTGATCGGGCTGCACGCCACAACAGATTTTATTGATTCATGATGGGATCGGGTTGCACGCCACAATAGGCCATATTGGCTTTATATTAGCGCTTGGGCAGGATCCGCACCTCCGGAGTCCGACACACCAACAATGAGCGCAGGTACCATACAGTGATGAGTGACTGAGTGTGCTGAGTGATTGAGTGGGAGTGCGAGATAATGCGATTAAGTACTCTGAGCGTGTGAGTATATGAGTTCATCATTATGACACATTGTATTTGACACGTATACTTGACATACATGCATAGAGATGCATTTCCTCATGCTACACGATTTTGTGACATTCATGACTTCACATGCACATTGACATGTAGGCATAGATATGTACACGGTTCTTTTAGTTCTTATGATGTGATGAGGCTTTACAAGTGTTTTATGGTAATACTCCTGGGTTTGGCAACCTGCGTGACTTGGTTGAGTTAGAGTAATTCAGTTCTAATGGCTTGGTTATGTGCAAATGGGTTTCGTAGAGTTCTCGATGATTTCTACCACAACTTGGGATAGATATTTTCTATAACATGGGGAGTTCGTGGTGCATTGCGATTTTCTCCTGGATGAGATCAAGTGGAAGATTTCTAGCTATTTGAGTATGTATTCTTCTTGTGATTCAGAGTTGGTAATGGGGTTCTCGTGGTTTCATATGATGGCCTGATAGAGGCGGTGCATCATGTGAGATTGAGATTTGTATGTGCAAGTATACGATTCAGTTTCAAAAGGGAGGTCATGAGTTCTAGACTGCATAAACAGTTTCAGATATTCAGAAGAATGCTGGCACTATCTTGTATCCCCTGAGAAGACTACGCATTTCAAAAGGGCGTACTGTGTTTTGACTTATGGATGCTTCATCGGTATTGCAGTACTCGCCTGGTTGATTGACTACCGATGTTTAGATTTTGCAATGTGGCATGGAAAAATTATAGAAGTGTTTCTCGTAGGGATGATTATGTATGAGAGATGTGTTAGTCATTCGAGTGGGGGAATTGGGATCGGCTATGGTGATTCATGTGTTCTATGGATTTGGAGACAGGGAGTTATCAGAAGCATATTGTTTCAGGGTTGCGGACTGTGAAGATATGGCCAGAGTTAGCTAGATGGTAATATGTGCTATGTTTAGGTCATTGTGGACTTTTAGAGGATCATTTATCCATTTGGGGATGAC